GTTAGCCATTGCTCAGTCAAGTTACACACAACATTTCGCTGAATCACAAGTATTAGCCATTTGTTAGGTTAGTTTTAAGAAGTTTTAGGCTTATTTCTAAATTTTCCCTTTAGACTCCTCACTCAGTACCAGCAGGAACAAATCAAGGTTCAAATGCAAATGCAAAGTACACCTTCAAAGATACTATTTCTGCATGAAAAACAGATTATTACACTCAGAGAGTCCCAGGACTAAGCAAAGCATTTAAAGAGAAGCCTAACTTTAAGCAGATGCTGAGTAGGGATGGCCCCATTCAGTGTCTTGATATTGCTGCTGATAGTCTCCCAGGGCTCCCAAGCTAAACCCTTTCACTTTTTCTGCTGCATGTTATAATCTATGATTTCAGACTCTTTCCCCCCATTTCTGCCATTTTGTAATGTTTCAGTTCTTTCTGCAGTTATTTAACTATAGTTTCTCCTGTTTTTCTCTCCCCTGGCAATGTTAATCTTTTACTAATATTTTTGTGGCTTTTCACCTTCCCTTGTAGAAGAAGCAACTAGGTAAGGAAGGAGGTGCAAAAATTTGTAACTTCCGAGTTACCAGTAACAATGAAGACTACAGAAAATGTGATAAGAAGCCTTTTGCTCTTACTGGTGTCCCTTACTCATATACCTATATTTCTGTTAGCAAGGCTGTACAATCAGCTGAAAATGAAATTTCCTCTAAATCAATCTACTGGTACTTCTAAGATTTCTCTAGCTATTATATTTAATGCAGTTCAGTCATTGGAAATAACATTTGATTATTCCGATTCAATGTTAGTGTTAAGTGAAATTACATCTAATTTAGAATGCGATGTCAATTCTGTCACTAAATCTCAAAGATTTCAGTGATAGGATGGCTGAGTCACAAATACAAGTTGACAGCATAAAATCACTATCAGGAGTACCAGATTGCAATAGAATATAAACTAAAAAACCTGAGGCTTTGGGAAATTTTTTGAAGTCATGCAATATTTATATTTTAGGTATTATTGATATCAAATGGAAATCAACTAACTGATAATGCTTCATATTCATTTACTGAATTTAATCCTCCTAGTCACTATTTCTAAACGTTTTGATTTCCTATTAAGTCATCTTTAAATATTCCTTGCTACTGGTACCATATGCTCAGCCATTGTTTCAGCAATGATGGTAAACAAATCTTGAGTCAAGTCTGGAAATCTAAAGGGAATATTCTTTTAAGTGATAAAGGAAGTCAATAAAAGTTTAATCCATGACCTCAGTGGAGCTAGGATTTCACCCCAAGCCTGATGCAAATAAAGTAAGTCTAGTCAAAATAAAGGTATTTCTTGTTTTAAGACCAGCATTTCTGCATGCTGTATTTCCTGCTGAATGTATAATAGTTTAAAGACAAGAAGGGTTTGGTTTTGGACTATGATTATATCAAGGATTTTCTGTAGCCCCAGTTACATAAAATGATGGCCAATTTGCACGAGTAGTAAAGGGGAAAGCATTAGCATCCTACCTGAATGATTTGCACTATTTTAAAAATATTTCTTTAGTGACTATTAATAGATCATGTATTGTTAAAGTTCATATGCCAAAGTGTTAGGTAATTATACATGTGTTTTTGAGACAGTCTGATAGGTTGTACTTTAAAAAACACAACTTATTTTCAGAAATTAAGTTAATTACACAATCTGTAATTTCTACAGATATATACATAAAATAAAGACATTTAGATGAGACTTAAAATAGCATTAAGAAAAATATTTTAGGCCTGATCTTCAGCTGCTATAAATTGATATAGTTCTAGTGAAGTTTACATCAGATGAGGACCTGACCCTTTGTTAAAAGAAGAACAAAAATATTTTGTGTGTTTTAAAGGAATGCAACTGAATTATCAGCAGAACTTCTAGAAAACTACAGAGAATTTGTCTTAGTCCTTTTCCACAACAAAGTCTAAATGTGAAAAAAAATATTTAACACATCAGCCATTTTTCTAGACTTAGGGACAGTTCCTTCACATGAGAAAGTTTTCTAACTGAGTAGGCAATACCTCAAAATGTAGCAGCTTCACTTCTTCTGCCCCCCACCCCACCTTCTCCCAACATGATCTGGACATTGTTGTAGATGCAAACACAAGACCATACCACCATTTTGGAAGCAATAATGGAAGGAAAAGGACACAGAAAAACTTCGAATTCACTAGATAACTCCCTCAAAGACCAGACAGTCTACAATTAATCAGGGGACCTTTCCTAGGGCCAAAAAGATAAAGGAACTCACTACCATAAATGGAAATCAAGGAGAAACAGCAGGTGGCCCTTTCGATCGTTCCATAACTAGGAAAAACTGAATGTTATTTCTGTGTGATAATAATGGAGGCTCCTCAGAATAGCCAGGATAGGCTTTGCCTATGCTTTTTTTAATCTGATATATGATCTTTACCCACTTCTGTAAATGGTCTGTGAGTACAGCTACTCATGTCAGTTTTACCTACCCTCTCCCAGAGATCCCTAGGCTACACTGTGAAACTTGGTTTTACACAGCACATCTTTTGGTTCAGACCTCTTTTTCTTACTATTCTTGTCAAACTTTGATAGGATCTGCTGCTTTCTAAAATGTTGCTTCATTACAGCAATCACAGCCGACGTACTCATTTGAACCAGACAGAAGCCTACCGTATTCACTGAAGATTATAAAAGAAGACTGCAATGCAGCCACACTGCCTTTTGTTGAAGAAAAGATGGGTTTTGTGAACTGGCTGCTCCCACGATCACTGCAGGGGTGATTCTTTTGTCCTCTGGGAAGTTACATTTGGAGGTTTGAACATTAATTAAAAGAGTTTAAAAATTCAGGAAAAGATTCACTTTTGAATCTTTTTACAAAATTTAGAGTACCTCCGAGTCAGCATGAGATGCAACAAATCAAGTTTAGTGTGAAAAGAGCCTATTTACTTTGGAGGTATGGGATTTAGTTATTAAGTTATAAAGGTTACAGGTTGAGATTCAATAGCAAGCATGCATGAGCCACCCTAATCGTCAAGTACCACCTGCTGGTCAGAAGGCAGAATACCAGAACTACTGACCGCCTCGGAAGAGACACAGCATTCTGCCATCCTAGTTAGAGGATAGTTTGTGGAGGGACAGAGGGAAAGGCCAGTCCGGAATGGGTCACCAGCCAGCCACACAGTAAACTGGAGTCCTGGAAAATATTGTTATCACATATTTCTTCAAAGGTCTTATCCTGCTCAGAGTCCCATTAAAGTGAGTGGCAATGGGAGCTAGATTGATTTGAGCCCTAAATCATTGAGTAGAGAAGAGACTCCCCATTGCTGTATGGGGAAGAAAATGTAACTTACTCTTTTATTATACTCATGTAAATTAAGAATGTGTCTTATTCATGTGCACACACCTATAAGCACATATCCTTAGTGATAAACATGCAAATTCAGACACAGACTAAGAAATCAACTGCTAAATCATAGCATAAGAACCAGGATCCAGTTGTTACTTGTTAGCCTACTTATCAAACCTTTCATTTACACTCTTTAATTGGTTATAAATGTGATTTTATGATTTTGTTTTTCCTGTTTTTACTTGATCAATGGATGTTAAAGGGCAACACAACTCTGGTAACTTAATCAGATATTACTTAACACAGCTGGTTAATTTCTTCCTTGGAAATTTAGTTTCATTCAAACACTCCTCTACATCTATAATGCTCTATCCACTTCTAATTCACACATGAGTCAGGAATTATTCTTGAGACTACATATATTACTAAACACACCAACATGCTGGCTCTCTGAGTAATCCCGCTCTGCTATACTTCCTTCCAAATTGCCTTATTTTTCCTGCCAGCCCCTTCTCACAAGTCTCCCTACATCCTATCCTCAAACCTGTCCAATTCCTTCGCAAACCTAGACTTCCAGAGTGCAGCACATATAGTCTTTGCCTGCTCCCTCTATTGAAGGGTGAACTGTACAAAGAAGACAAAGGTTTAAACATTTTAAAACATCAAATCGAATCTTCCTATCCAAAAAGTCAAGAGGAAATTTTTTCAGTAGTTTCATAAGGGCTGAGATCACACCTCACCCGCTTCTGTGGATAACTGAAACAAACCACAATTTAAAGCATTTAAAAGGGCATGGATCAAACCTTGCTTAATCCACCCTTTGCTAATATACAATTTACATAATTTGCACATAGCAATGGGGAGTCTCTTCTCTACTCAATGATTTAGGGCTCAAATCAATCTAGCTCCCATTGCCACTCACTTTAATGGGACTCTGAGCAGGATCAGACCTTTGACAGAGTGCTATAGTGAAAGTCTGAACATTGACTTCTTTATTTCTACCAGACATACTACAGTATATTTACTAACGCACGAGAAATAATCCCCACGATAAAATTTACATCCACCATTGTTTAACGTAAGTCGTATTTTGTGACAAAGTTTCCATTGATTTTTTTCAGGCTCTTTCACCAGCTGGCAAAACTCAGTATGTTGCAATGGGTATTTTATTTACTAGTGCAAATTAGTGAAGTTCTGCTGCAACTGTCCTCTTCTTCTGAGCTAAAAGCAGTGAAACTTTTGCATTTTTTGTGTAATAAAACCCACAGTGAGAGATTTCAGATGTTGCAACAATCAAATAGCCAGAGTTCAAATAGCTTACAGCTATTATCCGAAAAGCAGCGAATGATGTATTGCCTTCCTGATGGTATGTTGACATTCCTCAATTATCCAACATCTGTCATAGGCATTTCATGCTGGTAACAAATGCAGAGCAGCCGATATTGCAGAGCCCATACAGGGTGTGTGTTTTCTCTCATGATACAACAGGATCCTCTGTCTTACTGCCCAGTGGATTAATAATAAATGTAATTACGATCTACACAGAACAGTTACTGAAGGAAAATGGTCCATCAAGGCACAGCACAGACCTGCAATGAGTACAAAGGTTAAACTGCAGATAACAGTACTTAACATTAGCAAAAGATGAAAACGTACCTCTCAGCAAGTGCTTGACTAGGAGTGCTTTTCACAGACAGCAGCTCTTCTTCCAGCCTCTTTCTTTCTGCTTCCAGGTGCTCTAGCTCATCTTGAGTGCGTTTGCGTGGTGTGACAAATTGGAGTTCTTTTAAAAGCTCTTCCTTTTCATTGATCAGCATCAGTTTTTCCTTCTCAATATCCAGTGCCCCAGGCCAGGTCTCACTATCTAATTTAGATAGTTCAATCTTTAAGTTTGCCATGCTAAAACAAAAGATACATGCGTTTGGGTCTGGCATACTTAACAGTTCCAAAGAATTGGGAGTGCAAAATGGAGACAATATTTAGAACTACTGTACCAACAAGGGTGGGCGACATGTACATACCAGGGTATAGATTTTGCACAAAAAGTTATGTTTACAATTAATGTTGCTTCACGAAAATGTAGGAATTGTCACACTGCATCAGACCAGTGGGCTATCTAGTCCAGTAGCCTATATCTGTACCAGATGCATCAGAGGTACAAGGAACCCCAGTCCTTGCCAATATGGGGAAGTTTCTTCCAAAACCCAGGCAGCTAATGACTGGCTTATGCCCCAAAACATGGTCCCTTATACATTTTTTTTATTCATATATGGGGGCATACAAAAATGTGAAGATTTATATATTTAAAACAGGGGTCGGCAACCTTTCAAAAGTGGTGTGCCGAGTCTTCATTTATTCACTCTAATTTAAGGTTTCGCGTGCCAGTAATACATTTTAACATTTTTAGAAGGTCTCTTTCTATAAG